AATTAGTTTCTGTAATAGAGGTGAGATAGTTGAAACGTAAATCGCTAAAATTAGGAAAATTATCCAATTTTTAGTATCCTCCTTTCGAAAGTGGCATATATCTTAAAAAGCGATAACATATACAGAATATAGCGTGATCGGTTGAAATTAGGCAGTTTTTAGATTAGTTACACATTCATACTACGCATTACTGGCATACTTTCATGACAACTATTCATGTCTTTGCAGTTGTAATTAATTTTCATACGATGTAATTGATATAAATGAGTTGAAAACGATTCAACTCCAATATAATGATAAAAGATGTATCTCTCCCCATATTATGGAAAAACTGAGCGTTTTCGTTCACGATATGATAGTAACATATAAACTAAGGGTAATTTATTTTACATATTTAGAAACTATTCAATAAAATAGTTTGTTAGGAAATAATGTTTAAGTCTACAGAAATTAGTATGAGTGGTTACTAAAGAAAATATAACATAATCTACAATAAAGCCAAAGTTTTCAAGGTGGAAATATTTGCAATTTACTAGATACCGAAGTATGGTATGTGGTATGCATTCGTTCCGCCAATAAATTATGATTAAAATCATAAGGCAAGAAATGAACTTAGGAATATCTTAATACTACATAAGCAACGTTTATGATGATTCAAATTCGAATTTAGAAATACACAATCTCATAATGAAGCAAGTAAATAATATTAAAAGTGAATTTATACTGCCGATAAATACAAGAATCGGACTGTAATAGCAATGACAGTTGCTATTTGATCATTAATTGAGAGGATAGAAAATCCAAACAAGGATTAGTGTTTTAGATGCGAATTGTCTACATAAGTTGATCAGTTTGTTGCTGTTATTTACCAATACCGTTTAACCCCATCGATTAATATTTAATATGAAATAAACTAGTGTCTTACATTGAAAATATGGTGGATAATCCTAGAAAAGCATCCTTCTGTATGATTTCAATCCGATTAAATATCAAATTTCTAACGAGTCGTCGAAGAATTTTTATTCAAAGTTGATAATGTGACCTTGATTGTTATCTCAAATAGCCTTTGCTAGATTAGTATGAGAAAATTTTTATAGCATAGAACACATCTTACAAATTTACTAATCGGCTTAGGCTTTCAAATCTTTCGCTCTTTAGTACTGTTAGGCGGTTATTTGACAAATTTCTAATTAAATTTATAAGACAAGTTAATATTTTAATTGTCGAAATTACTGCTTTGCTCAATGTTATATATAGATTTATACAGTATTTGCTACAGTCCTAATATCACTTAATATACGCGTATGTTATATAATTAGTCATTGAATGGATTTACCATTTTCATGAAATATCTTATTTATACATTAAGGTTTAAATGAATAATAACTAAGAGCCATTCATATATCTGTACTTACATGGATATAAGTGACGTTACTCTATTAAAAGCTCCTATTTCAATGTTGTCAATTTTGTTATTTTGAAGATTTCTAGAAATATTTAATAGCAACAATAAGTGCTTTCTATTTTATAGCCTACTTGGGTTAAAGATTAGGAAATAGAACAAAATTTGTTTAGAGACTAGTGATTCTACCTCAATCTCACTGTAGCTCATGCAGTAAGATATAAAACTACAGCATTAATTAAAGCTTTTTCAGTATCTAATAGCTAGAGCAGAGTGTTGCATATAGTAACAGTACCGGCAGTGAACATATTTTACTATACTGTACAGTATATTATATCAATACTTACATATATAATTAATATAATGTTTTATCTCTACAGTGCTTACAAATGCAGCAAGCTTGGATAGTTAATGAAATCATCTTTGCTGATGTTAGCTATTTCGGTAAATCTTGCCGTTCTAGATGATTATCAAATGAAAAAAATTTTTTCTTTACTATTTAAAATTAAATCACCTTTTAATTAGAGCTACAGGTATAAACATATATTAGGTTAAACTTGTAGTAGTGATAGTTATATCATTGTACAGTACTGAATTTACTGCGTAACGACTTACAAATTATGGACTGTAGGCATAGGCTTCTTAGGCTTAGGTATCTGATTTGCATATGAACAGGTTACGCTGTTGATTTTGCAAAGGCACATCGATGGACACTGTGAATAAGCTAATACCCAAAAATAAATTCGAATTATTTCTATGTAAAACTTTATTAACAAGTTACGTTACCAATTATGCAGAGAAATATCCATAGGCATTGCATGTAAACTAAAAAGCTATAAGAAATTCAAATTATTTTTATAAAACGTCTATTAACATACACGAGTATATTAGTGTGGTGATGCACCCACATTTGATTGTAAGGATAGCTATATTTGATTTTTTTAATAGCTATATTTGATATAGTTGGGTTACCCTGAATAAATATTGTCGTGAAGCTAATATTAGATGATTGCTAAGTACAGTATTAGAAATTCCTGATGACTAATATTAGACTGTTTACTAATTAAGATATAAGATTTATGTGGCTAGAAACGCTGTAATTGTTAAGATGCCCTTCGAAGGAAGGGGCTAGACATTAATAGAATAGTGGCGACATATTAAGTAGAATAATTTACGTTGTAGAAGATAATGATGTACTATTTGAGAAAAGCATTTCGTTTAATGACCCATGTCTGATTGTACGTTAATCAAGTCGTCATAAATAGATTTAACGAAATGTACGTAAGAAGTGCTGAGATGAGCTTACCGGAGAGAAGAGACTTCACTTTGCTTTGAGCTCGGAATACTTTAGATTTTAATCTAGATTCTTGTAGTAATTAATTATTGCTCTACAACTCTTACTACCTTGCAATAAAAGCCTTCTTTAAAATACCATTTGACTAAGATAGTTATTGTGAGGCACTTTTATCGCAACAAGCAAAGTGCGTTAAGTAAAAATATGATATTAAAAAATTTATAGCAGTAATTTGACCTGGCTATTGTTCTAGTTTAGATCTAATTTGTTGCAAAGTAAGTGAAGAAAGTCCTGTAGCTACATTAAGATAATGTTACTCTAGTAATAAAGGGCTACCCTCTATAATTAGTTAATACCTATTTCATAACATTTTTAGAACTTAGATTGGCGTGAACATATAGGTATGGCAAGAGTAATTTTAGGTTTAGCGAATAAAGTGTAAGAAGAATTTCTTCAGCATGCAGGAATTATAAGGAAACAGAAGTTTAAGTATAAAATTGAAGCGGCCCAGTAAATTCGTTTCATTAATTTGAACAAAGTTAGAGTAGATAAACTATTTATTGTTATATTAAGATGTTATTGAAATCTTTAATTACCATAGATGGGTCGCTATAAATATCGATCTAATTTTACGCTATATACTCAGCGTAGTGTAGATAGAATTAGTCTTCTTTTATGGACAGTTACTATTGTAGAAGTTATTGCAATATTAATCTGTATCCGAAAGTGCATACTGTAGCAATTGTAGAGAAATAATTCTTTGACTTTAGTAAGACATTCTTTAGATTATTATGCAATATGAAACGTAATTATTTGCATTGCATATCCATTATATATTGTTTATATCCTAATCCATAGCAAGGAAACGTTAATGGAATTAACTTATTACCGTGCGATGGAGATTAATTCCTTTTAGAGTATAATTGTTATTGTAGAACAAATGTTCTACGGTTTTCAGGATGAATTGAATATATATAAGGTAAATAAGTACTCAATATCTACCAAAACGCTTTATTGAACTCATGATTAGACAATAACAATGGCATTTAAAGTTGATGTTGAACTTTATGTACTATCCTTCTTACAACCTTATAAAAATTTAAATTAACTAAGTTTCATATTTTTTTTATCCGTTTCTCTTCGGTGGTATAATATCATTCTTCAAGTGTTTACTTGTTTATTTCATTCTTATGATTTATGAAGCATGGCTTGATTTTATTGTTCTTGAGCAATAAACGTCAAGAAGTTTATTGTTTTATGCATTTAATATCGTTAATTATCAAATTCTTGAATAGAAATCTTGCAGCAGGTGTTTTGAAACTGTTAATCATCCAGATTATAGTGGACTAATTACACTTACAATCACATGATGGCACAAAGCGAACTGTAACTTTGGTATCTTATTCGCC